TAGATCAATGACACATTGATCGGAAAAACTATTCGAGCAATGAATATGAAATTTTTAATTTATCTTTATTTTCCGTTCGTAACCAAAATAGGTGGGTGTGGCTGTGGGTCTGACTATGAGTGGTGAGGGTTTTAGCCTTGAACTCACTCACATCCACACCAAACTACAGCTTCAGATAGAGCGAGAATCCTGATCATAGCTGATATCAACAACCTAAAAGTAAGTGCATTCTTTATTAGGAAAAGAATGTCGTTTTTGAAACTATATCCTAAGAATTGGTACATCCTTACCTAATGTGAAAATGCTGATTGATCATTTCATCAGAAAGAATATGAATTTTAAAAATAATTCGAATCTTGAGTATGAATATTTATAATATTCAGTTGCTTATAATCAGCATACAATTCAAAGCAATAGCTACTTGTTTATTGTATTGTATTTTATTCAATAAGATGTCGAATTAAAAAGTGTTCCATATTGCTAAAGTTTTTGATGTTAATAAAAGAGAAAAAAGTAAAATAAAATAAAAATCATCGACGTTTAAAATACAAATAGAAAATGTTTATTCAACGTCGAGTTTAAATATAATCTTATTTTTAGTCGATGAGAAAATCTTTTGGTTTATCAAGTAATGTCATAACTGAATGTTTCAAAGATAATGTTTGCCCGGCTATTTCTTTTGCGCGTTCTAAATATTTTGTTGCTTCGTCCATATTTCCTCGAGATGCATGAACAATTGCTAAATTATGTAATGTTCGAGCAATATTTGCATGATCAGCTGGTAATAATGCTTCTTGTAATTTCAATGCCAATTCATATTCTTGAAGAGCGATTTCATAATTTCCAGTTGCCAAATGAATATTACCTTCATTAACTCTTTGTAATGCTCGATTTGGATGATCTAATGGAAGAGAACTATCATAAATTTTCTTTGCTTCTTGATATTTATTCAATGCTTGTGTAAACTAAATCGAAAATCTTAATAAAAAAAAAACTATTTTTTTTGAAAAAAATATTCTCTTACATTTTGTCGATCACAATCAATAGTACCCAAATTAATTAATGTTCCAGCAATCTCGACATGTTTTTTTCGAATACTTTTTTTATATAGTTTCATAGCTTGTTGAAAATATTCTTCAGCTTTCATTTGTTGTCCCAATTCACTATAAACAATTCCAAGACCATTTACAGCTTTTCCAGCATATGAAAAGCGTTTTAATCGAGCATTCATACATAAATCATATGAACGCTTATAACAGTTTATTGCACGATTAAAATCACCTTTTAATCGATGTATACGACCAAAATTAAAAAATATGCAAGCAATATCTTTATCATTTAGATTTGATGAATTAAGAACTGTGTCAAAATGTCGTTCGGCTTTAGCATATTCACCCATTTCAAGAAGTAAATCACCAAAGATTAATGTTGGATTTGATTTAATCATCTTTTGTTTTTGATATTCAATATATTCAGCACCTAAATCAGCGCCTTGATCAGTTGCATGAAGTTTAATATGCCATAGCTCATCTGCCGTATTGTATTCACATGAATCAATTTGAAATGTTGCTCCTACAAATGCAAGTAAGAATAGATGAGTAAAAAACAAAACAGTCTCTGGTTACAAGAAGATCTTTCATAAATGAACAATTTCTGAAAAGATATTCTTAAATAGACCATTAGTTGAAAACGTGTTTGACTAAAATCATCAAACGTTTTACATGCCATAGCTCGAAAAATATTAGTATTATTTAGATGTAAACACTTTTATTGATGCATTGCAAGGAGAAGTTTTTTTTTTAATCCTAGGAAAGTTGTATTCTAGATAATAGAAAAAATACCAAAAACAGTGACGTACCAGTAAGGATACATGTTACGTATATTATTTTTGCTGCTGTTAATAACAAGCTATTCAATAACTCATCAAAATCAATTAGCTTTTGTGTATAGGTAGGAATTACTCAGAAATTTTACAATAGACCGACAAAAAACGTACCAGTAGTTAAATGCAACTATTGCTCTCGCTTGTATCCCTCTTCAACTGCTTACTGGCTAAGTCAAATAATTATCGAGTCCAACACTTTTTGAACTCGAACTAATTGATGAATGTTCTACTCGTACTGAAATTTCATAATTCGAATCCTAGTAAAATTAGTAATCGTTGTATCAAATATTTCGTTCAATCAAGATCAATTTCTAAACCCAATGAGTTCTATTGCTCATTCACTATGTACACTTCGCTCTTGGTGTGAAAATGATTTTCTATTTATGCCATCTTGAAAAGTTTCAACGTTTTTTGAAAAAACGTTGAACAATAAATACAAAAACAAACTTTAAATTTACATATTCTTAATCTATTTCGATTGATCGATAAATAAAAATGCTTATTTTTTGTTTTTTCTCTTACCGATATCAACGATAACTTCAGCTTCTTCAGGAAATGCTGAATATTCGCGAACATCAGCGAGAACAATATTCTGAACAACATCTAAATCTACTATATATTCGAATAAAGCGCCTTCAAAACCTTCTCGTTTAGGAGATTTTGTTCCAAAACCGTAAGCAACTGAATATTCGCTACTTGTTGATAAATATCCCGAGCATGATATTAAATTTCCAATACTATTTTGAAAATTAGCCACATCGTCTGAACTTAATTTTGTAGCACGATAAAGTTTTAAAACATCTTTTTGTTTTTCTTTCAGTTCTTTAAATTTTAATTCAAGTTGTTCACTGAAATCCTTAATATAAAAACGAAGTTGATATATAAGATAGATATCTTGCGTTCGAAGAGTTTTATAAATAAACCTAAAAAATTTCAATGTTTTTTTTGTGTTTGTTGCTTTTTTTTTCATTTTTAACTTACTTGTAAAGAAATGTTTCTTTCGTAAACCATGGTATAGCATCAACTGATTTATATGTTTGATCAAAGTCATCGATATTTTTTAATTCAGTTAAATTTCCCCGATAATAGTTTCGACATACTTTTATCATTGTCTTTTTCGCTTCATATGTGTTCGGCATATTTTTTAAAAGAAGTTTAAATATTTGAAAAAATACAAATGAACCTTGCTCTTTTGAAAGATCACATGCTGCTTTTTCTTCTTTATTGAACATACGAAATGCATCGGCTTGTTTATGAAATTCTTCGCGAGATTTATTTATTGAGTCGTGAAGTGCAGCTTCATTTTCACACCAATTAAGTATATAACTATGTTGCTTTTCATTAACTCTAGTAAAGTCATTCGAAGATGGAGAATAAACAAATACAGAATCAATCTGGTTTAATGGTTCAATTGCTTCAATAAGAGTTGTTGATGGTGTGCCATCAATTATTAAAAATACTTTACTTATTGTAGATTTGACATACTCTACACATTTGATTTCATCAATAAAAGGCTGAAAATATATTTGAATATGTCAAAAAAGGAATATTTTATATAAGCTTACTTGAGTATCTTTATACGATACACTGAGAATATCAATCAAATGTTGTTTTGGTGTTGCCGATGCAAAATACACTAATTTTATTTCATCATCATGTGTCACTTCTTCTCCATCATGACTTGTTGTTGTTTCTTCTTCTGCTTGTCGTCTATCGTCATCATCTAAATCTAAATCTTCTGTTGTATTTCTTGGGCTGATTTTTTTAACAGTTTTCTTAAGCCATTTAAGAAGCGGCATGTTGAAAAATAGTGTAACTGTTAAATGAATGCTGAAAATTTGCGTCGATTCAATTATGGTTAAATATAAAATAAATGTTTGTTTGATACGCTCGATTGATTGCGATAATTGTGAAAGAGAAAAAAAAAACATTATCTTTCTACAGAATGTAATGAATAATATTTCATTTGACAAGACCAATCGCAAAATGATATCATCAAAATTTTTTCTTGAATGCAAGTCGCATCATTTTATGAAATTAGACAAGTTTTCGACAAAACAAATCTTTGCTAATTTATCTATAAATGATTAACCGATTGAAGCTATGTTATATGTGAGAGAGAAATATTCGATGTTATTTTGTTTTGTAATTTATAGATGCGGAAGATTAAAGAATATATTTTCTTCGATATTGAATTTATTCTACTTTTACAATTTTAAATCAATATTGATACAAAAAAACAAATATATTAAATTCTAGACTAAATCTGAAACAATTACTTTATCTATTTCTTATATTAGATATCGATCTCTGTTGGAAAATACCATTTCTATTATTGTGTCTTATTTTTATTCATCATACTAAATAGTAATACGCAGATCAAACTAAATCATGTCATTGATGACGCACTTTCGCAATGTGACTGATGAAAAAAAAACAACTTTTAACGACGCATTTTTGTTTTCTATATCGAATTGTGTCGTCTAGCATAAAACAAATTGCATCGCAATATATTCATAATGTAAATGGATCCAATATTGACAATATAGGTATATGAAAGATGCCCACGGATCGAAATATCAGATTTCGAAGCAATACAACTTCTGCCAACCACAACCACACCCACACCCTGATGAGTTTTATTACTTTTCTTAGTGTTACAAAATCACTAGAAAACTGTTCTCATACTATGGTACATTCTAGTGGATTTCTTTAGATGTTTGTGAACTCTGTTGACATCGGTAACACTCGGAATTATGCACAAATCAACAAAATTTATTGTATACGCATCAGTTCGTTTTAAACGAAAGCTTACAAAAAATTGCGTTGAAAATTTATTTAAACTAAAGATCATTTACAGTCAAATCTTTTTATTCATACAATCAATAGTTATGCACCAGTGTGTTAAAAATATAAGCTATTGCGAACTATAGAAGTTCAAAAAATCAGCTTTAGGGCTCTTTATTTAAACCTCGGAACACAAGATTTAGAATTTTTTTTGAAAAATACTAGAAAAAAAGCTAGCAACAAATCTATTTATTTTGAAGAAATTAGACTAACAGTGAGGGTTTACATGATAAAAACAATTCCATGAGACAAGATAATTGTCTCATCCCATCTGGAGCCAATTATATTTTGAAACACTAAAATTACATTTTTCGATATCAACAAGTCTATTCTCAAAAACTGAGTGATACAATAAATAATATCGAGCGAAATTGATCAATTAGTGAATCCTTCTATATGGCAATAAATTCGAAGTCTTCATGTAAATAAATTCTGGTAAATAATCTACATAGCATAATCACTAAGTTCTACTTAATATTCATTTACTGAGAAGAAATTCTATTAAATAAAAACTTATGCGAGACATATTTTAAGTTTATTACGCTTCGAAAATATTATTTGATATGTATTGGAATCGAGCAGTCGTTCGTTAACAGCAACAAATATCGCTTGTTCGATTGCTTGCCGAATTTCCGATTTGACCAGACAAAAACCTTCTCTATTCAGAACCATACACTTGTCTCGCAACAACATATTTTAGATAATAGTTAGAAGAGATGATTAATACGAATGTGTGGATTTAGATTAGTATAGTGTGTGTTTAGTACATGATTTGTGGAATCAATTTTGGTTCAAAGGTGAAGCTTACACAGCACAATCGACTAAATCATAGATTACACCAAGATGAATCGATCGCATTCATTGCAATAGGTATCTGAAAACAGAAATAATAATTTATAGATTTCCAATATCTAAGATAAGCTTAGTACTTCCTATCAGAAGCCTTAATTTTATATAACTAAAAACAACACCGTAATTCAAATATTTTGTACCTTAGTGATCAAGAGTGTACTGTTCATTATAACACCAACTTTCAATTGATCAGAATGCAAGTGAAGTATTTTCAAATGTCCGCTAGATAACATATTTTAAGTAGTACCCAACTGATTGAAACTATCTATCTTATTACAGGTCTATTCGATTAATTGTGTTTCGATATTAATCACATGCTTCGCAAATGAATAATTGTGTACCGAATACATATATATTGTAGAAATAAGTCAAATATAAAAGAGAAGAATTGTTTTCGAAAGCAATTTTATATTAAAACTCCCAGAGGTAAATTGCTCGTCGTGTTGATAACCAACATGATTGAATGATCATGTATTGCCATACGTGATTAACATAGTGTTTAACCATTCACTTAAATTTTCAGGAAAACGCATCCAACAATACAACGAAATTCATCAAGATTTGCAAGTGCTATATAATAAAATAAATTACATCCTATGTTAGATAAAATATTTCTACAATATAAAGTGATAAGGACAACTTGAACAGTCAAGAACATACATAAAGAATGAAATAAAAAGCATATCAAAATCGGACTAGTTCCCAATGAAACACAAATATTTCTCATTTATCACATGAACAAATGTTGGTGTCTTTCCTAGACATATTATTTCTAGATAAATGATGTACGAAGAGACTTTGTTTTTAAATTCTGCAGTAGGAAGACCTGTAAGAAACTCGAAGATTCGATTATGACTCTAACTTCGACTTAACCTTACATAACTTTTTTATTTCTATGCATCAAAATTTTATTTTTCATATCATAATGATCTTAGAATAAAACATGATAATTGTTGCACAAATTAATAATGAACTTTACAACAGACAAATGAATGAATGAATCCTTCCAAAGTACTACTATTAAGAGGCAAAATCAATAAAAAATGTTTTTTTAGCAGTAAGAATATAATGCTTTTCACCCACGCAAAAAGTTATAATCTTCAGGAAAAAAAATGGGTTTGAAGATGGGTGTGGATGTGGGTGTGTGAGGTGTGGCTGTGAGTGTTGATATTGTTAGAGAGAAGACTCACACCCACACCCTTCATACTTAATAAATAAATGCTCTGTTGTATACTGTTTTATTAGTCTCTCAACAAAGACTATCGATGCATCAATTTTAATTGCTATCTCGGTAAAAATTATATGAAAATTAGTATCCATGAAAATTTAAGGACATATAATGTTTATGGAACCGAGTTTTGACAAGAATTTCCAAAAATTGTAATTTACAACATGTCTTGTCAATTTTTAACTAGCGTTCTCATTGCTGTTGTAGTGTCAGTCTTACCTTGAGTAAAGCAGTTCTTATCAATCGTGAGCAAACACGTCAAACAAATGCGAGGTATATAACAATAAAAAGATTCTTTCTCTTACAGAACATCATATGTCAACTGCATCTCAGTTCTTATCAGGTTAAGATTGCCTAGAAAAATAACGAATGATACACAAATAAAAGAATGCCTTCATATTCCTCCCCAATAGAGTGTAGATGTGAATGTGAGCATTAATTTTACCGACACTCACACGCACACTCTGAAAAAATAGTCCGTGATCTGATCTTTCGTAAAGAACAAAAATTTTTACTTCACATCTCGTTTTCTCGCAAAATTTTTGAAGATTTCTGTCATTGCCTACCCAGGTCGAATTCACCCTGTCGAATCCGATAGAAATTCGCCGGAATTTGTCGGAATCCTAACCACAGGATTCCGACAAGTGGTTCTGGATGTCGGAAAGTGTCGGAGTTTCAGGGATTTCGCAGGATCCTGATTATTCCGACATCCGGAACCTCCTGTCGGAATCCTGTGGCTAGGACGCCGACAACTTCCGACGAGTTCCCGTCGGATCCGTTAAAATCCGGTAATTTTTCCGATATAATCCGATATAATCCGACAGTCGGATCGAATCACCTGGGTATTCGAAAAATAAGCTGTTCTCAGAAGAAACAAAATCTTTTTCATTTTTCCTTCATTTATAATTTTTTGGTTGCGCAATCCAAATTTCGCCGTTGATACTTACTCTATGGATTCCATTCTTTTTGTTTGAAAATGTATGTCAAGATTTAGTACAGTACAGAGCTTTTTTTGACCAAGCTTTGCTTTTACTGTGTACACAAACATTTATAAACTTAGAGCACAATTTTTAGAGAACTTTTTAAGTCTTTGAACTGTCGATCTCTTTTCTCTCCTTAAAAAGTAAGAAAACAAGGGCACTGTACGGCACTGTATCGTGACATGCTCTTTCAACCAAAAGGAGATTTATAATGTAGAATGATCTTGGCTAGAGACATTTTGTTTGCCAAATGAGCTATTGTTGACCCTTGTTCGTTCAATATCTCCCTCTAGTGTCAAAATATCATGTTGAAAATTCTACCATAGCCTCTTCACTGTAGCTCTAACATGCTATTTAAATGTTTCTGAGCTGAGATCGATTTTTGAGAGGGATCTTAATCACTTGAAATGGTTCTCTCTTGATCTTAGCAATTCATGTGTCATGCTACAAACCCAAAATTATATCTAGCTAAAAAAACCTTTTTTTATTAATCTCAATCAATGTTCACATCACTTTTATGGAATTCAATCAAACATATAATCTGAATGACACATGATTAAGTTAGAATTATCATCGATTAAGATTAGGATTTTCCTCGATTATTGTTTGTTTCGAATCAATTATAATTAATATTATCCATCGAATAATTCTGTAACAAAATTGAAATTGAAATCGAATAAAACCAGAACTTTTCAATCAGTGATAATATGATCGTCATCTATTGAAACTGGGCTATAATTTTTTAATTGTAATCGATTTTAATTCTAACTTCATTGCAAAATAATCCGATTCATCGTTCTGATGAAGATAATAGGTTTTTAAATTTTAATCGTTAAAATTTTTCACTACATGCGTATTCCTACATTTGATTTCCACTTTTAAATAAGAGGGGTTGCAGAAAGCGGTAGTCAGGAGAATCAAATAGAAGAAATCGACAAATATGGAAATTTTAATATTGCAGAGAGACAATAGTTATTGTTTATTACAATGGCTCTTTTTCAAGATCTATTAATAGGCTTCTCTAATTTGATTGAAACTTTTTTGATTTGCTTATTAAGTTAGCGACAGCATTTAATCTTGAGCTTGAGTAGACAAAGGTATTCTTCGAGCACGAGAGCAATTACTTGAAAAAGAAGCTCCTTTCTTATGAAAGTTTTTCGCCCGAGTACGCAAAAACTGGTTATATAAACAAGAAGTGTTTTTTTCTGGAAGTTAAAACCACAATCGCAAGTTATTAGTATTACTTTATTGTAAGTCGAAGTCAGTAGTACTTATTTTTAAAGTTAGAGTATACAGATTGCTCATAAACCATGAAAAATCATGTTCACAAAACAAGAGAATATTGAGTGGGAGAGTCCTATGATTTTCGTCGAAAGTATTTTGTCGATAAATTTTTATCAACAGAATATTTCCTCGAAAGTTATTTATAGGTATGAGTGTGGATGTGGGTGAGTTTCATTCTTCTGTTCTTCTACTCTGACACCGTACCAAGGATATTAGTAAGATGATACATGATCAAATGCAAAATTAGCACACATCTGTGGAATCAGTGTGATTCCGCATGATGTACATAAATCAACTGAAAAGTGATCACACTTGATAGTAGAATTGATCCTGGAAGCATTTGTGAAAACAGTGAAGCAAAGTAGCTATTGGATTCGAAACAGTACAAAATACATAGAGATCAGATTTTCTATGGATCTATTGTTCTTCATACCCTCTCTTGTTGATAAAAAAGCATCAAAGTTTATCAAGAGAAATCAGGAATCTCGACTTTAGATTGGAACTTACACTCACTCAGCTATAGTGAGTTCTATTGAGAAGGACACGCAGGTAAGCTTTTACTGCTAATTATCAAGTTTATTCATAGAGAGAAAACATTATATATACTTCTCAATTATTATGAATTCTCCATAAAGAAAGATATCTCATTATTTTTTATAGGAAAATGATTATTACGGCGTGCATGCTTATAATGATACAGCTGTTATACTTCTCAATTATGCCATATGAAGAAAAAAAATTAAAAGAAAAAAAAGAAAATACAATCAAGAATTACAATTGATGTTTGATGTCATCGATTAATCTGTCAAATTTTTCTGCATCACCCAACAATTCTATTAGACGTTTTCTTCCTTTGTTTATCATAAATAACCACATTGTCTTAAAGGCACTATACTTAGTTTCTAAGATTATGATTACAATGGCAGTTGTTAGAATAGTCGAATCGTTACTGAGAATTGAATGAAAAGATGTTAAAGGTTTCTGACAAAGATTTTGAATATCATCATTGCTTAAATTCCAAAGTCCATCAAATTTTTGTAAATTGATCAAGTGACGAACAATATCTTGATCATTGGATGGCCATGTTTTTTGTTCAGTCATTGACGATGAAAATATAGAATTTACTCCTCCACTGTTTGGAGCTGCAAAAGAGAAGCTAACGCAGTTGTCAGTTAGTAGTGAATCATTCGATGAAGTAGAACCAAATAACGATGGTTGTTGTGGTAATCCGAAAGATGATGGAAAATAACTTGGAGATGCACCAAAAGAACATGTTGGTGGTGGTGGTGGTATTGCAGTTGAATAAGATGATTGAAAAGGTTGTTGATTATTGGAATATGTAGGATAAAAAGGTCCTGATTCCGACTGCTGTGGTAATATAGTAGGATAGTTGCAAGACGTTGAGCTACTATAGTTTAAGTTAGAAATTGATGAAGAGCCGAACGTACCGAATAAAGATGGTAATCTGGTCATAATTTTATCATCCGCTGATATTTCGATTGGAATCTCCCGTAATACCATGTTGGAGTTGACATTTTTGGTTGATGGATCTGTACGTGTTTCAATACCAATAAATGCTGTGTATGGACAGAGAATATTATACTTCAATGAAATAGCAATTGCTTGCTTTTTTCTATCATCTTCTATATTTTGTTGAACTCTGAGCTGTTTAGATCCTGGATGTTGTTCTTTCGAATGTGTAATTTCTTGAATCAGAGCCTTAGCTGCCAGATGGGCTATTAATTGATTATCTTTGTCTATTGTCTCTGGTATACGATCGATTCTTGCTAATCCAAGTTGAACTGTTTCTTCATGATTCCAGAGTTCAACAGTTGTGAAATGGTCGAATTGATTATTTTCGACCAAGGCATAAAATAAAAGACGATCATTAGCATAAACAGGTGGAACAACAGTTGGAATAGTTTGAAGTTTGGATGATGTTGATGAAGAAATATTCCACTTAATTTTGACATTGGTAATACATGGTTCAAGAGCTTTCTGAAGTTGTTCAGCAACATGAATATCGACACTTGTTCCTGGAGGAATAAATGTAAATCGACCGTTCGTTGAACGAGCAAGACCTTTAATTAACGATCGACTTGGTGAATGACCAAGACCAAATGAAAAGATTCTTGATGATGTTGACATTGATCGACAAAGATTCATTACTTCGGTAACATTGGAAATTTCTCCATCAGTCAAAAGTAATATTTGTCGAGAATGACCAGCAACAGGTGCCTGGTTTTGTAACCATTGCAATGGTCTCAATAGTTCAGTTCCACCCAGATCAGCTGACATTTGTGAAATCAGTTGTTCGGCTTGTCTTGAATTTTGTTCATTGTATTTTTCAGTCACATTATTAAACAATGTTCTATAATCAGATCCAAATCGGATAATATTAAATTGACAGTTGACTGGTAAACTCTTGAGAAACAAAACCATTGCTTGACGAGCAAGACCAATTTTATTTTCATCTTGCATCGAGCCACTACAGTCAACAATAAAAATAAATTCATTATTAACATCGTCGATATTGTTGCTAGTACTAAATGCTTTTCTACAATCTTCATTCGTAGGTATGAATGATGTCATTAAGGCCCATTGATGCTCATTATTATTTTCAATAGCTAAAATTGTATTTGTTTGAGTTGAGAGTTCAATATCTAGAATAATGTCTCGATCCATGAATGTATTCTTTTGACCAAATGTTATTTCATATTTTTTGTCATTAAATTTAATTGCAATTGGATGTGAAGACGATGAAACACTCGTTATTTCTCCACGTAGTTGATCAATTTGACATTGGAAATCGACTGTGTACGGTGCCGATTGAATATATTTTGCTTGTGTACCAGCAGGAGATGAAAAGCGACCAACTGACGGATTATAGCGTGGTGCTATTGTTGTTGGTACAACAAAACGAATTTTATTTCGACTAACAAGATCCAATTCAGTTACATACGTAATTTGAATTTGACATTCTTTCCCAGGAAGAAGTGCTCCCACATTGATAATGAATATGTCTTGTGATTTTTCGTCTTGTTCCATAAGATAAGCACCATGACCTTGTTGTAAGGCTTGTGTATATTCTTGTTGTGCTTGAATTTTTTCTTTCAATTGAGCACGAATTTCTCGATCATCGATTTTTGCTACAAACGAATAGATTGCAGCATTTTCTTCGATTGGAAAACAGTATACAGCTTCGATTGGTTGATTTTCATCATTTCTAAATAATTGTGTAATACTAACATCGGCGCCAAATGAGTGAATTTTTGAAACGATTGCAACTGATTTTAATGCCACATATTTTTGATCACGAGTTGATGTGTCTGATTTGATACGCAGCATTTTTTTTAAAGCAGAAAGCAAGCAGTATTAAAAATATTACTTCTTGTTAAACAACAGATATGTAAGCTGTGTCGCCTTTTATACAGGTATAGAAAGAGAAAAGTTATGACGTGTCTGTTTCTTGTGTCTTACGTAAGTCACTGTTGTAAACGCCACAGAAAGAAATTATTGTTTTTCTTTTAAACTCAAGTAGTCTGTTTGATGACTCATTTGTAAATGATTTCTTGCGTTTTTGTTATGAAAAACGAATGACTCAAGTTATTTGGGAGAAAATCCAATATTATGTCAAAGCCAATGAGAAACTCGAACATGAATAGTTCATCAATTAAATCAAGTTAAGTACTTCATTATACAGAGACTTCAAATTCATAAAATAATTAATTTGTAATACATTTATTTTCATATTTAATAACAGTAAGATGTGACATTGGCTTTATTGTACCCATATAAGGAAAATTGCAAAGAATAGGTAATAATTTGCGATTTACCACTATGTTTCATAATTTCAGTATTAGATTTAGATGTTGGACACGGATCTTCTTTTCATACACATCACATCTGATATAAGATGTTCGGAATTCAAAATTCAAGTTAATTTATTTTCGGCTTTTTATACATAGTTTGCTTGGGTGTGAGCTGCTAATTACAAAAAAACACAATCTTTTAATACCTTACTCTAGTTGAAATCTTCTGAAAATTTTCTTTTTCTAATTCCGTATGAAAAAGTGAGTATACAAACTGTGTTAAATCATTTCTAATTCAAAAAGTGTATTCACGATAGGACATCTTCTCTTGTTCTGAACCAGTGATGAATCATTTTTGTAAACCTATTTAGTCTTCTTTTTGTGTAAGTTATATTCGTATTCGACGTAAAATTCTTAGTCGATTCACGAAGGCCTTTATTGTTTTAAATTACTTCAGTCTTTTTTCGAGTTTGGGTATTTGAGGGGAGGTGGTGTAAGCCTCTCTTCAACCACATCCACCGTCGTCATAGACGGGAAAAAAAATTATTTTTTACAGCCGCCGCCGCCACCCATGAACTCGCCGGCTGACACTTCTATATGTTGCTTCATCTTACAAATCTTACAGAAAAAGGTCAGTGAATGAATATATAAAGGGATAGAATTCAATTTTTTTCTTCAGTATTTTCCTGACTTCGTTCACTTTTAATTATTGTTTTCATTTATTCTTACACAAGTTTAGGCAACTATCATGTCGAAACAAGCCTTTGAAGAAGCAAATGAAGCTTTTGTTGACGAAAAATATGAAGAAGCATATGAAGTTCGTTCTGAAGATACTTTCTCTTTTCTCTTATAATAAAATATTTATCTTGTAGCTTTATACAAAAGCTCTTGAGAATGATGACAAAACTGATCATCGAAATACTTCCAAGATCTTAACATCACGTGCTCAATGTTCGTTAAAATTAGAAAACTATGCAGGTATACGTAAATTTGTTTTTCAAACTATTATTACGACTCTATTGTTATATTAATTTTTCTTCTAGATGCATTCAAAGACAGTAACGATGCAATTAAATTGGATGAAACAAATATCAAAGCATATATTCGTAAAGGAGTTTCATTATATAATCAAAATTTAAAAGAAGAGGCTCTTCAAGTATTTGTTCATGGTCTTGAATTTGATTGTAAATTGATTGTATTCATTTTGTTTTATAAAAATATATTTTTTTTTTATAAAGCTGCTGATGAACAATTGAAAATATGGCAATATAGATGTGAAAAAGAACTAGCAGGTACGATTTTCTTTTCTCATAAATTAAATTACAGTTTTATTTTAATTTAGAGCAAAACCCTGTTAGTATAGCTGTTTCTATTGAAAAAGAAAAATTAACTACGAATGCTACACCTGTTCATCCATTGCCACCAGCAAAAATCAAGTATATTTAATATTTTTTTTTTTATATAAGTTTTTATGAGTTCTTATTTTTAGATATTCCTTCTATCAAACAGACAGTATTATTACTATTCAAATTCCCATTAAAAGCCTAAAAAAAGATCAAGTTCAGGTCCATTCAACAGATACAACTGTTTGTATATCTTTATTCAGTGTCAATTGGATAATATTAGATATCAATAATGTATTTTTTTTTAGATCAATATCCATACGAAAATACCTTCTTCTGGTCAAGATTATTTACTTGAAATTGATCTTGCTTATCCAATTGATTCATCACGTACAAATTTCAATGTTACTGATTCAAATGTAAGAAAAAATGAAATTATGTTAGTTTTTTGTTTAATATAATGTTTTTTTTGCCTTCAACGATAGCTCGAAATAAAAATATATAAAAGACAAGCTATACAATGGACATCATTAGATGCTCAATCAACAATAGCTAAAGCTCAACCACCAAGTACAATGTCATGAAACGTTTTTTATTTTTGTATTTAAATTATATTTTTAGTTCCAATGAATCGACCTTTAGTTGAAACAGCGCCAAGTTATCCATCATCTAGTGTATATGCAAAAAATTGGGATAAATTAGAAGCTGAAATAAAAAGAGATGAAAAAGAAAATAAGGATGATATGGATGATGGAAATGCGTAAGTTATTGTTTTCTTCTGATTTTGTATTGTTTTGTTTATAAGATCAATATATATTTCTAGTATTTTTCAAAGACTCTATCAAGATAGTGATGAAAATACACGTCGTGCAATGAATAAATCAATGGTACTTGTATTCGGATATTTCTTTTAACTATGAAATAATTGAAATATTTTTTTTAGTATGAATCTGGTGGTACATGTTTAAGTATGAATTGGGAAGAAGTATCTAAAGGTCGAGTTACCTGCGAACCACCCGATGTTTGTCTATTCATTTAATTTGTTTTTTTTTATTCTATCGACTCTTTTATTCGTTTAGGGAATGGAATGGAAAAAATATGAGTCGTAGATATGATCGATACAATGAAATGACGAGAATAAGTTTATTCATCATTCAACAAATGAAATTTTTTCCATACTTAATCATAGACTTATTTAATATGATATTAAAACTAGATATCTTTCATATATATTGTGTGTTTTCTTTGTGATTAAATAGTGTAGCTCTCTAATTTTTTTTTTCATATAAATACATAAGTATTCTTTTACTGTAACAAAATAAACAAAAGCTGTAGTTCATTCATTTCTTTAATCAATATTCTCTTAATCTATTTACATACTTTTTTACACTTCAGTTTAAGTATTAGATAAATATTTCAATGATACTAACAGTAGCTATAGGATTTGTTTGCTTTTAGTAATATGCATCAAATTTCTACTATATCTCAACTGATATCTAATCTATTAGAAAAATGCAATTCTTTGATCGAATATATATTGCAGTAGTAGTACTACGCTTAAACTTTTCAGAAAAACCTAGTATAGGATGTGAGTGTGAGTGTGGATGGTTCGCAGTGGTTTTTTCATCCACATCCACACTCTATAAAAGTATTATCTATAACTGTGTATAGTAGAAAAGTGTTTCAGATGAACAAAATTAGATATCAAACTAATTTTTGTAATATTTCTAAACTATGTTAATTCTTTCTTATTAATGAAACAAAAAATGAATTATTATTTCGAGAAATCTTTACTTCTCATTTCAAATATTTTTATTTATAATGAAATAGAAAAAAGACTTCTTTTGCATTGAAAAAATGCTATAAATATTAAAAAAATTAAAAAAATCTATTACAAAATTAGAATAGATTGAAAAATATTGTTTTTTTTAATCAAGTTCTTCAATTGTTGGACCATTAGTATGTGATTTCGATGTACTTTCGGTGAATTGTTCATTATTATGAAGTTTTTCCATGATTGGCGAACAAATTTTTTCCATTTCTTTCAAATTATGTTCAAATTCATCTTTTTCAACCAATCGATTAGTTTCAATCCATTTTAATGTTGATTCAATTGTTTCATTAATTTTTGTTTTATTATCAGTTGAAAGTTTTGATGAAATTTTATCATCATTAATACTTCTTTTTATATTAAAACAATATGATTCAAGTGAATTTCTTGCTACAATACGTTCATGTTGTGTTTTCATCTTCTTTTTTTATATTTTTCGGCATCTTTAACCATACGTTCAATTTCTTCTGATGATAAGCGATTTTGATCGTTTCGAATTTGTATCTTTTTTTCATTGCCAGTTGATTTTTCAACTGCAGATACATGTAATACTCCATTAGAATCAATATCAAATGTAACTTCAATTTGTGGTACACCACGTGGTGCAGGTGGAATACCAGTTAATTCAAAATTTCCTAATAGATGATTATCTTTTGTCATTGTGCGTTCACCTTCGAAAACTTTGATATCAACACTAGATTGATTGTCTGAATATGTACTGAACGTTTGTGTTTGTTTTGTCATCATCGGTGAATTGCGTTTAATTAATGTTGTCATAACACCACCAGCTGTTTCAATACCCTAAATAACCAAAAGAAAAACGAGAATTAATAAAAAAAATGTTTTACGTGGTTTTTCAAAGTGTCTTACCAATGACGATGGTACAACATCTAGAAGAAGTACATCTTTAACTTCTTCGGATTTATCACCTGTTAGTATAGCTGCTTGAACCGCTGCATCATAGGCTACCGCTTCATCAGGATTGATTCCTTTGTTTAATTCTTTACCATTGAAGAAGTCTTGTAGTATTTTTTGTACTTTTGGAATTCGTGTGGAATCACCAACAAGTACAATTTCATCAATGTTTGATTTATCCATTCGTGCATCACGTAGAGCATTTTCCACTGGTTCAAGTGTCGAACGAAATAGATCAGCACATAGTTCTTCAAAGCATGCTCTTGTTATTGCTGTATGAAAATCAATACCTTCATGAAGAGAATCAATTTCAATTGTTGTTTGAGCTGATGCTGACAATGTGCGCTGTTAAAAAAAAACAAAATAATAAATTATTGAATATTTTCTAATGTAAAATGAATTTTACACATACTTTCGCTCGTTCACATGCCGTACGTAATCGTCGTAGAGCACGTGGATTTTGTAATATATCCTTATTGGTTTTTCTTTTTAACTCTTGTACAAAATGTGTCACCATACGACTATCAAAATCTTCACCACCCAAATCAAATATAAGAACATTTTTTTCACCTGTTGTTCTTTTATCTAAACCGTAGGCAATTGCTGCTGCCGTTGGTTCATTTATTATTCGTAAGATTTTAAGACCAGCAATAACACCAGCATCTATTGTTGCTTGTCGTTGTGAATCATTAAAATAAGCTGGTACAGTAACAACAGCTTCTGAAACTTTTTTTACCAAGATAAGCTTCAGAAGTTTCTTTCATTTTTGTTAATACCATCGATGAAATTTCCTCTGGTGTAAATATTTTTTTTTCATTCTTATAATCAATCTCAATTTTTGGCTTTCCATTTTGATTAATTACTTTAAATGGCCAATGTTTCATATCGGATTGTACAGTTGAATCATCAAATTTACGACCGATCAGTCGTTTAGCATCAAATACTGTATTATTTGGATTCATAGCAACTTGGTTTTTAGCTGCATCACCTATTAAACGTTCACTATCTGTGAACGCAACGTAGGAGGGTGTAGTTCGATTACCCTGATCATTCGCAATAATTTCTACTTTTCCATATTGAAATACACCAACACACTATTAGAAAAGACACAAGAAAGAGAAACTATTTAAATAAATGCAAGAAAATAAATTATAAATAACATACTGAATATGTTGTCCCTAAATCAATACCAACTGCGCGAACCATGTATGTTTGATAAAATGAAACATTTCGATCGATAAAGTACGTTGATCTTGCCGTTTGAACATGGCTTTTATATGACACTGATGCATTAGTTCTTGAAAAATAGAGAAGTTTCTACTAGCGCTAAGAAGAATGTTGAAAATTCGAGCAAGAAAACGGAAATAAAAGATGTGTAATCAATGATAAATGTAATGGATGATTAAAAGTTTCGAAATATTTTGTGTTTTTGTGAGTGAGCAATGATTGCGATAGCCATTTGTCGATCAGATGCACGAATGACATATGCATTAAAAGCAACATCTTTTTCAATGACATTATTCCATTATATTTAAAAAATATTAAAAAAAAACAATCTTCTTTAACTAATTTTCTTTTTTTGATATGATTTAGAAGATGGAAAGAAAATTTTCAGTTCAGATCAAGATTAGATGATGTATGAATGTTGATATGGGCGTGGTTGGGAGTGTGGGTGTGAAGTATGGATGGAAGTATGGAGATGCTCATACCGCACGATCACATCCAGCCACACCCTCGATGTTGTTCGTTGTCAAAAACGAAGAATCAGTTTAACAATCATAAGCTATTTCTGGAAGAATGTTGAGAAAAATGTTTGCCATAAATTGACACTATTCATTGTTTGTCAAAAAACTTTTGTAAAGAAGTTGTTTGCTTGATGATCGATTTTCATGCTGTGTTTGTAGCTCATGTTCACAATCATGTCATCTGGTGAACGCTCAAAAGTGTGCGAGATGTTAATCAGCCAGTAGTGTAGCTCATTTTTTCTCAAGCCATGCTAGATCGAATACTTGTTCGATTGACCACTCCATTTGACTATACAGATTCGACTAGACTTGATTCAAAACTTAACGACCTACTTGTATCATTTGCTGAAAAATTCATCATGTTTGTTTCGTTTATCGAAGATTTAGACCTTGCTCTATCAATATTCTTCCCCTCATTTAGTAGACATGTCCGAAACAGAGTTTTTGTAGGAGCTTGATGATGTGGAGAAAGAGAGGTATTAATATTGTTTTTTTTTAAGTATTTCACGGTGATTTATTTCATTTTCATCTTTTCAAATCATCGAAGCGTGTGATAACATTCATCAATCGCTTTATTTCATGATTCAACAATCCTGTGTACACTAACAATGTTTAGGCCGGATGATGGTCAATCATATTTCTCCTGATGATTGTTTTCAAACGTACAGGATGTGGCTGTGTGTGGATGTTAAATTTTCCTTCATCCACACCCACTCCTTTTCTTATAAATAGTGTGGGTGAGGTGAGTCTATTCTATTCATGCTTACCTACACTCACACCAATACTCACTATACATAGACTGATATATTTCGCATTACAAATATGTACGGTGTTCAAAAGCCAACAATTCGTTATAATCAAACAACTGCTTTGATAATTATAGTCATTTAAGAATAATTAGGAGCAGAATCATATGAAAAGAACACTTTGTGTATAAATTCTCAATACTATTGATGGCTATTCAGAGATATTTCAAGAAGGAAATCATGTATTTCTTGTAAGACTGTGTTGAACAAAAAAATAAATATTAGTAAAAGTTAGTAAAATTTCAGTTCCAAGAAAATTAGAAAAAATGCTCTAGATCACTTGAGAAGCTGGTACACCCGACCAATTTGTGTTGAACGGTAGTTGATCATTTTTCATCACTAGTGTAGACGGCAAAAGTTGATTTCGCCCATGTAGAATTGATCCAGGAAGCACATTTGAGCAGCTCATAAGTATACATGAATGATTCACAATGACAGGTGCTAATTTGAACGAACGTTGTTCAAATGTGTGACACTATAAATTATATACGTCAATATGATTTACAGTTGTAAATATAACTTACCTGAATGGAAGCATCCGCCCCTAAGCGAACATGATCACCAATAGTCACTAGATGAGGCTCTGTCAGACACATAATATCTGGCAAAATGACATCGCGTCCAATTTGAGCACCAAGTACACGAAAAAGGAAGACAAGATATTGTGATCCGGAAAGAAATGGACAGATAAAAAGGTGGAATTCGGTCACGAATCGAGGCATATACTTTCTTGTGAGAACGATGTATTTCGAGGCTGTAGACGTTGTACTTTTCAGTTCTTTCGCTTGAAAATAATGATAGACTGCGCAGTAGAAAATTGTGTGAAGAACTAACGCCATCGGCAAAGGTACCAATGTGTATAGAGCGATCACAAGACATTTGCTAATCATGAAAATAAGACAAGTGCGCACAAAAGAAAAGTAAGGGTTGGCGTTAAAGGAGGATAGATCATTGGTTGTTAACATGTCAGACATCGTGAAGGGCATTCGTTGAGCTGGAATACCGAGCCATACTGCAGCAGCATCGCTTGCCGTTTCTTTTGTGACTCTAGTCAGATTACCAATTATTGTATTACATGATAATCGTGTACCTGGCATAAGCGTACATCTATTGGCAAGATTGGTGCCAGATCCGAGAGAGATATAATCTAAAGAACAATCACCTTCATTTGTTATTTCGAATGGAGCAAGCATAACATAACCAAATGTTGACACCCCACGTTCAATTTTTAGAAGATTTGATGGATATCGTAAAATTGGTATGATATGAGCAATCTTTACATCATCGTCAACGTGGGCACCCAGCCAACGGAGGACAACTATTGAAAATTCTTCATAACGAGGTAAGAATTCAAATGCCTGATAAAAAGATGTTATAATAAGTTGTCGTAACCATATTTTATGAAGATAATAATAGGAATTAAATGAACAATGTTTGGGATTAGCATGGCCTAGGACAAACTTCATTGCAAGTAGAGCAATAAATAAACTTGTCAAAAGCCAGAACAACCAACACAACACTAAGCTAAAGATTATTGATAGATTAATAGTTGAGCAACAGTAATAAACACGTTGAGTCATATTTAAAAGAAAAATATGAATGAACAAAACACTTAACAGACAAGTACATTGATAAATAACTTGGTCCCATGATAAACACTGATCTTTACTCATTTTCGAGTCGATTGAAGATGTAACATGACCCGTTATGACTGACATGGATTTGATATGAACATTAGTTTGTATGTTGACTCCACCATAAAGAATACTTCGTGTTTCGATCAAGCAATGTGATCCGATGAGAATTGGATGAAGTTCATATGTTTGGTCATAATAGGACAGACTCAGAAGTCTAGTCTCACTGCCAATAATTGTTGAATCTCCAACATCAAGCATCCAAGGAGCATCGATAAGTGTTGTATAGATGTGTGTATTGATGCCTATCCGAGCACCACACAAACGAAGGTAGGAGTTGTAAAGTGGAGTTCCTACAAGATGTTGCAACCAATATGTGTTGTTTATTGACCATAAGCGTTCCAAGAACCACCAACGATAATAACACAACGAATACAGCTCACCGCTTCTTTCTAACTGTTTGCTTGATGTAAGTAATAATTGCTGACATATTACGTACAGCAGAATATGGATGATCGGCACGAAAATAACGGTCCAGTAGTGGCCAGATTGTAGAGCCCACCAGATAGGATATAGCCACTGACAGGCAAGTAAAATGATGCCCAATGCTTCTATGCATAAGGATGGCATTGAACGATGGTCATTTTCTTCCCCCTGCGATGATGACAATGTCGCAGGCGTTTCTTGATGCACAGCAAGAAGTGGTTCCAATGCACGAGCAAGTTCTCGAACTGAAGGATGAGCTAATAGAAAACCAAAGTGAAAGTTTGAATATAGCTGCTGCCGAATTAAAGTAACTGCAAGAACGGCATCTAAAGAGGTACCACCGAGTCGTGTAAAAGACATGTTTAGATTCGGCTGTTCAACATGAAACGCTCGAGAAAAGATGGATATAAGTCGCTCTTCAAGATCAGTCGTTGGTTTGGAATCAGAATCATCCACTTTCGCCATCATTGAAAAATTAGGAATAGGGAGACGCTTTCGATCAATTTTTCCATTGGAGTTTAATGGAAACTTGTCTAGGAGTATGAAAATTGAAGGAACCATGAATGGAGGTAGTCGAGAGCAACAATGATTGTATAGTTCTTCTTCATTCATATTGCTACCTTGTACATAAGCAACGAGATGATCATCACCCCATTTAGTGACAACACACGCAGAAATGCCAGTACAGAGAAGACAATGTTCAATCTCACGTAACTCAATGCGCTGACCTCGAAGTTTCACTTGGTAATCTTTGCGACCGTTATAGTAAATAAGACCATTGCTGTCGATACGTACGAGGTCACCACTTCGATAGAACAATTGTCCATCGATTTCTACCAGTGCCTTTGCTGACAGATCATCACGGTTTAGATAACCAGCAAACACACCCACACCACCAATATATAATTCACCTTCTTGATCGATCACAGTTGGTTGTAACATCTCGTCAAGTACCAGACAGTCATAGTTCGGAAGACGTTTACCGATAGGAATCTTCGAAAGTGTGGAATCAGATACATGTGTTAAATAATAAGTTGAATCTAGAGTTGTTTCAGCAGGTCCATAAAGATTCCATAAACGAACTCTTGACACGACCGCCGTCTTCGATATCAACTTCTCATTCAACAGCCGAATTAAATTCGGCGTCATTGATTCCCCTAAAAACGAAAGCAACACAAAAGCATTGTGAATTTCTGTCTGACTTCCAACACTTACCACCACTACACAAGGTTCGCAATTGTAAGTCACAGTGTCTTCGAATATGTTCATCAAGATAAAGACAAAATGACATCATGTAACTTGGAACACCATACATGTATGTTATTTGTTTTTGTGTGATTACAAGAAAGATATAGGAGAAATCAAAGTAACCTGGTGGCTGGATCATGATCAACGATGCTCCAATGACCAATGGTCCAACAATATCTCGCACGTGAACATCGAAAGAGCATGCAGGTATTTCGATCATTGTGTCGTTTCGACAAAATACCCCCACTTCAACAAGTGAACGAATACAAGCCAAAACGTTTCGATGTCTTACTTTCACCTAAATACATTATGGTCATTGCTTGATGTATTACACATGCAGATACACATAAAACTTACTGCTTTTGGTATACCTGTGGAGCCACTAGTAAATATGACATATGCTAGGTTGTTTGGTGTTACATATACACATGATAGACACTCTTCATCAAAAATACTCAATTGACAATCAATCTTCAAAACATCCTCGATGTTGATACCAAGAGTGCTGTACGGAAGTAAATGTTGTGTCAATGAATGAACGAGCACCGTACGGCTGTTAGTTTGTTCGATTAGTTTCTGAAGTCGATCTATAGGATCTGTTGGTGACAATGGACAATATACAGCACCAGCCATTTGTATTGACATAATGCCAATGATCTAAAGAGTTCCGAGAGGTTAAGATGGATAGCATGATGCTCTGAAAATTACTTACCATTGACACGCTTCGCTCTACACATTGAGAAATGATATCGCCAACTTTAATACCATACTTAGTTATCAGATGAGCGGCTAGTTGCTTTACATAGAAGAAAAGTTCACTGTACGTGAGACACTGATCATCAAGTTCAACGGCTATCTTTTGTGGATAGAGTATAGCGCATCGAGCAAATTGCTGGTGGACACAGTCCAGATCTGTAAATGGATTCGGACCAGTTTTTAATGATTCTATTAGTTTCATTTCATTTGGTAATAACAATGAAAACTGAAAGATTGGCTGCTGAAGTCGGTCATATGATTTCACAAAGGCTTGATTGAGTATCATCAAGAATCGTTGCATTATTTTGTCTATTGTGATTATATCGAACAAATCAATAGATGCCTTGATAGTAGCAGAGAGTTGTCGCTTGCTAAGGTCATGGGTCACATGGAATGAGACATCACGCTTGCTGACTACTTCGCTTGTACCGGTTTGCATTGAACATGGAGCAATTTTGAAGTGATCCTGATTTAAGTTGAAGAGACCACCAATCACGGGCTCTGAAAGTGTGTCAAAGTGGAAGAATACGTCTAAAAAAGCCGGTTTCGTAGCTTTTGGATGTTGAGCGAGAATGCGTTCAAGTGGAAAAAACGAATATTCGGTACTTTCGGTGAAGAGTGTGTGCACTTGTGAGACAAATGAATGAAAGGAACTATCAGGGTCGATTTGACAACGAAGAGGAATAGTGTTGACAAATGTTCCAATCAGAGAATGTAATTCGCTTTTGTATCGTCCAGATGTATCCATGCCAACACATATGTCACGTGTTCCATTGGTCAATTTGAAAAAGAGAATGTAGTAACAAGCAAGGGCGAGACATTCAGGCATGGTGTTCAACGACGTAGCGTAGTCAAGAAATATCCGTGAGAGATCTTCACCGAAATCTACAGAAACCGATTGGCCACGTCCCGTTCGATGTTTTTCTGAGACACGATGTCGATCAAATGGTAGTGGTAAAGTTTGATCAATTTCACATCCATGCAGAGTAGTCATCCAAAACTCACTGGCTGCTACCATTGCCATCCCTCGTTCAATGATGGAATCTTAATATGAAAATATAATGTATATCTTTTTTAATCATTGAATATCAAGTGAACTTACAATCGAGATAGCGCAAGTCCGTTTTATCATTGACTATCAACTCGCCTGTTGCATAAGCTTGATCTAGATCACGGTAGAAGATACTCATAGACGCAAAATCAAAGGATGCATGATGAAAATTAAATATGAGCAGATCGCCATCTTCAAGCGTATCTTTATGAACGCTCTTCTTGTGATGAAGAACATAACAACGAAAGACTCTGCCTTGAACAAGATCGAAGTGATCTAGATTAGTTCGTTCTTCATATTGAATCTTGGTTAAATCATCATTTGTTTTGAATGTGCTTTCAATGAATGTAAACAGACCATCATGAGTAGCATTGTTGACTTTTTGCAGTAGCATATCTTCTTTCGTATCATAGATGAGTGATGTGCGAAGTGGTTGATGCTTGAGAACGACAAGGTGTAGAGCACGTCGTAATCGACTGATTGACAGAGTAGCTCCAGGTGAAACACGATACATAAAAGGCATGTTGTGAATCGCCACATCAAGGCTCTGAGAATCGAAGCGAACTTTTTCATCATTCCAGATACGAGTTTGTGCATAAGAAGCTGGTCCTAGAAAGGTAAACTAACTCTTGTAGAGTCAGATGAATTTTTAAATACAAGTTGTATCCGCATAGAACCACTCAATTCAATGATGCACCTTAAAAACTTCCAGATCGCAAACATTTCAAGTTTTTCATCTTGCCAGTTTCTACAATAAATGGTACTCTATCATACTGGCATGTGTAGTATTTAAACACAGCTCATTAGAGCACAAACAGAGAAAGTCGAACATGTTTCAAACTGATTCAGATCCCATCAGAATTAGCTTCTACTATTACATGTCAAAGTTGCTAGGTGATACTACGTTTACAGGCAGAGAAGTATGTGCTGAATTGATGGAACCTTTACTGAAGAGATTGACTGAAGAACTTCTCTATCGAGTTTACTGTCTTTGAAACATAAGTTTTGATCAACAGTTGGAAATAGAGTTCTCAAGAAGAAGCGTATTAACTACCACGAACAAAATTTAGTAAGTCGTCAATGTTGAAGAGTATTGATTCAAGCTTTTGTTTCTTTCTAGAAACATTCTCAAGAATGATGTTTCTTTATTTCGAAGAATTTGAGATGACAACATATAATTAATCACGAAGTGATTTTTAAAATTATTAGTCGTTAGCAACAACTGTTCATATCTGTCTTTAAGTAAATGTTTTTAATGACTAACAAGTGAAAAATCACGTCATGAATAATTGTATGCTGCCTTCTCATTTGTTTGCAATAAAGATGATTCATGACAATGTTTCTAGAAATGGACACAAGTTTGAATCAATGTAATTAATGATTGACAACTTCATGAAACATTATTTGAGGTGGTAATTCACTTCTTTTTGAACTTTCATAATGTTCCTCGTTTTACTATATGTCGAATTGTAACGGGTTTTTTTAAAATTTTTGTATGATCATATAAAACATTGATCACTCTATTCTACTCTATAATTCGTATTTCATTTATGCTTTATCGTAAAAAGAATTCAAAGAATTTTATGTCTGACAATATATTTTAATAACATTGATACATATTAACGGAAGTTCGGAACAAGAAACTAGTACTTCTGAACAATGTTCCCTTTACTAATTTTTTTTTAAGTTAAGCTTAATCAGATTATACGTATATGATTCAATTGACAAAGAATACTCTATTTTGTTAGAGCAAATATCAAGAAATATAAATACTTTGACATGTGTAATTTATTGAAATAGTTGTTTTTTCAAGACTCAAAGGTTGTTCATCCAAATTTTTATTCAATTTAAACAAGACTAAGAATAAATACAGTCAAAAATATATAGATGAACGAAACAATCAATGTGTTACTAATTTTTTTGAAGGCAAACAGTCTTCAATTATCGTTACTTACGACTGACTTCACAAGTTCACCACATAGAAACATTACTTTGGAGAACTTCCAAAACTTCTTGCATTTTTGTTGAAATTGTGCAAGAAAACAAACTCAAAAATATGCACTTTGGTACGACAAAAAATACTAGTCAACGATATATAAACTACAAAAAACTAACATTTAACGATAAAATGAAGAGAACAAAAAACTATAACTCAGTTCATATATCGTTCAGTCAGTCAGAACTTGAACCTTAAACTAGATATACTTTCAAATGCTCAGTCTGAATTAAGCATCAGCATCATGTTTTCAAACTTTGGAAATCCTACTCTTTGTTGAAAAGTGAAAACTCCCAATATTCACCAAAAAAAAACACAGCAAATTTATACAAATGTTTATAAACTAGCTATTTTTGTTTTCGTTGCATTTGAGATTCTATTATGCATTCAACTTAAATACTTGGCAGATAAGTTGTTCATCTTATACAAACTTTCGACTCATCGATCAGCCACTAGATTGGATAGTTTTTTGGGCATATGAGAAACTCAATAGTAAATGAAAAGAGGGTTTATACATTTCAAAGTTTACATATGCAGACAACGATCATTTTTCTGACGATGCAAACATAATTAGTTACCTAGAATGTATTAACTATCATATTACCTATTTTGTATTTTCTTTTGTTTTGATTAATTTAAAGACAATCCGAAGACTTTCATATAACTTCTACAACATCGAATCTTAGAAAAATACTTGTTTGGTAAATAGACATACATCAGAATAATATAAGTCGTGATTTGAGAAATCTATTAGATTTGTAAACTCGTTAGCAGGTATTTAGATCAAATTAATTGTACCATCTTGCAGAGACTGTGCAACGTCTACTCTAGGAAATGGCTCAAATCTTTAGATGAATATGAAAAGAGTAAATGAATGAAATTCTAAGATAATAATTTATTCTGTAGCCAGCATGTGTTTTGCTCAATTAGTGTTAGCATCTTAGTCAATCTCTTTTTAGCGATATCTATTTAAGTGTTCATGGATTTATAGCCCAAGAAAGCAAGAATCAAGACGAGTTTTAAATATTTGGAAGCAACATCATATTTTTCTATAATTTTAATGATTCACGTCATGTTGAGTATCGATTACTGCACACAAAAATCCAATAGAAGAAATAGAACAACTTGTTTTACATGAGAACCGAGTAAAACTGTGCATATATACTTAGCTATATGTCGTGCAAATTATACTTCTTTTCACTTAGATTAGTTGCAAGTTATTTCACAATTACTAAAACTAGTAATTATAGTAACTACTAGCTTA